CATCTGGAGCAGCTGGTGCTGATTGTGGCGGATGGGCGGTTCCATGAGAAGGTATGGTGTGGCATGTGGTGTGGCATGTGGTGTGGCATGTGGTGTGGCATGTGGTGTGGCATGTGGTATGGCATGTGGTGTGGCATGTGGTGTGGCATGCGGTATGGCACGATGCACATGGCATGGCACATAACATGGCGCAACTCTGTCCCGCTCCATCCCCCTCCATCCCTTGCGTGGAACCATCTCCCACAACACCCACAACCTCATTGCTTCTCCAACACGCATTCCACTCCCTCCCTGCCTTGCCCAAACCCCCCTGTGCGTCCACCGCGCCAGGAGACCCTAAGGCGCACAGTGCGGCATGCCATGGGCAAGGGGCAGCTGCTGGCCTTCATTCTGCTGGACAGCCCTTCTGAATCCATCCTTGACATGCAGGTATGCGCACTCTCACAAAATCTCAATCACCTGCAGCCGCCCAAAACCCAAAACCTGCCCAAAACCCGACAACCAAGAATGCCCTACTTTTTTTCCCTTTTTTTTTTTCACCGAGAAAGCCTGCATTGTCTGCTTCTCCCGTACACAATGAACTCTCAGTACTATCAACCCTTTTATCCCATGTCTTGGCCCCAACCAACAGCTGAAGTCTGCTCAGGTACCAACCGCTACAGCAACACACTCTCCCTCCGTTTCCTCAACCCTTCTATCCCCTGTCTTGGCCCCATTCCTCCCTGTCCTCTCTCGTACCTCTCCTGCAGTCCGTGTCATTCTCAGGCGGGGTCCCAGCCTTCTCTCAACCTACCTGAACTGACTTTGAGATTCATACAAGCCATATCCCGTTTCTCCCTGCCCTCTCCTGCACCCCTCCTGCAGTCCGTGTCATTCTCAGACGGGGTGCCAGCCTTCTCAAGCTACCTGGACTCCTTCCCCTTCCCCTACTACATCCTTCTGAGGGACATCCACGCGCTCCCTCGCACGCTGGCAGGCCTGCTTAGACAGGTATGGCATGGGGAATGCTGGCATGGGGCTGAAGAGGTGACTTTATCAGTGATAGGGATGGCATAGATTGATGTACTGTTTGGTTGGACACTGATCTCGAGATTCATACTTTGCCTCTCTATATGCTGTACCACCGGCTCCTTATCCCTGATTCCCATCCCTTTGTGTCTGTGTCGTCTCCCTCTCCCTAACTGCCCTCCCTGTGTGTCCGCTCCCTGTTTCTCTCTGTTGCAGTGGCTTGAGTTCGCTAGAAGCAGAGGGCAGTAAGCATCAGCTTTCGATGCAACATACAGTACAGTGCATCGACTCAATCCGCTGGCTGATTGGAACATATAACTTTGGAAGTTGACCTTAGTTTATTGTTCTGGTTCTCGGTGTGATGTGAACCGCTTAGTATACTTGCCGTTCTCATTCTTGGATTTGTCAGATCACCTGAATTCATATTGTGTACGTTGTCACATAGTGCTGACAGCAATGGTACCTGGTGAACAGCATACAGGTTAACCATTGGTACCTAGTACAACACACCACTCAGATACACATTCGTGAGCTGCTAGTGACAAAGACTCAAAGAAAAACATAAAATTGACTCCAAACAAACACACATAGAACACATTTCTCACGACTTGACATGGAAAATCAGGGGTAGGAAGACTGGCAAGTCAGCTGGTGGTGTCCCCGGATGCCTTGCCTTGCCAGCATTCCTGCACCAGATGCTCTAATTTGACCTATTTTAGCTACTCACATGGCTGAGAGGCCCACAAGCCCCTCACAACCATGCCTGCAGCAAGAAACCCCCGGCTGCAACAGCAACACCTTGCATGCGCGTGTTCACCGTGGAAACACCAAGCTGACGCCACTGGTATCCCCAAAGCAGTGATGAATCAAGCAGCAGCAAGTTCTGCCTGCATCAGGCTGGATTCGAATCCCCAAACCCTGTCAGCCATCGCCGTATCACATAGCAGCAACAGCAGCAGGCGGAGCAGGACGGCAGTTAAGCATTAAACAGCAGCAGCGGGCATTTTGGCCCCCATGAGCTGTCCGCCCCATGTCACACCTGCTGCGCTGCTGCCCGCCAGCACAGCATACCCGCTCACTGTGATGTTCACTCCGCCATCACCACCTGAAAATCCACCTGCGGGCGGCTGCTGCGCTCCCCCTTGCTGCTTTCCCCCCTGATTCTGTCCCCCCTGCCTAGCAGCGCGGCCCACTGCGCGCATCAGCAGCTCCCGCCCCATGCGCCTCCCACCCTGTCCGCTCCGCGCGCCCCCCGCGCTGCCTCCGCCGTTGCGCCCGCCGCCACTCGTGCGCGGAAGCGAGGCGTTGGGGAGCACCGCGAGCAGCGCGTCGAGAGTGGCGGCGTCCGCGTTCTCGAGGAACGCGTCGAGGCGCGCCTCCGCGTGCAGCAGCCACCACCCCGCGCGCTGCTGCCAGTCCGCCGCGGCGAGCGGCAGCGCGAGGACGTCCGTCGCGGCGGCGTCGCACACGGCGCCCTTCACGATCGCGAGCG